CCTCAGGGCTGAGTGATGAAGGGTCAAGTCTTGAAAAGATGGTCGGTGAGGCACATTTGCAAATAGTATCACCAAAACCAACCAGTTAGAGATAGGCAGGAGAGTGTTTTCTCGATGCAATGGAAACACAGGACTTTAGCCTGTACAGAAAGACTAGTGAATTTTAAAGTTTTTTGCAAGATAGTCAATGTGGTGTTTAAAATTGAGACTCTGAGATTAACTAAATCCCCAGGTATTTTACATTATTAACAGATTGGGGGGAGAGGGTTGAAACCTTTGTTTGCCTGGGGAGAAAGCCATAATTTTAGTTTTGGTTGAGTTTAAAATCAATTTTAGATCCCTAGGGGCATGCTGCAGGGTGTTAAATACAGTCTGCAGATTTAAAAAGCTATCTCTGCAGTGGGGGCACAGGAGTACATGACTGTGTCATCTGCATATAAATGGTACTTGCACATTTTTAACTTAACACAAATATTATTGATATAAACTAAAAAAAAAAGCAAAGCCTGATGACTGATGTCTTTCTCCCTGATTTTGTGTTTAGATGGGAGGATACAATTTCAGAGTTTAAAAAACTCCCTACGTTGCAGAACCAATAGTAAATCCGCAGGGCAGTTTTTCGGTGGCTCGCTGAACTCTTGTGCTTGTAAACTTAGTCCGACTGCATTAAAAGTTTTAAACAAAGTTGCTGTAAGGAGGCAATCACACAGAAATGAGATGCAGAAACGCGGACGCTTCAAAGACGCTTGAAACACTGGAAGCGCTTATTCAATGCGCGCTAGACAAAAAAAAACCAGCAAGGAGCGCCTGTGGAGCGGGGTGCGTGCGCAACCGGGCGACACACACACACACACACACACCTCCTGTTATCTCCCCTTGAATCTAGTGTTTCCCTCAAAGACAGCAGAGAAAGTAGTTTATATGAAACTAGTACTGAGGTGTGCATGTGTTGTATAATTCTTCAAAATCAAATATTGTCAGGATAAATTTCTCGTTTTCGGATTGCATTGTGCTGTCTGTCGCTCGTAAGTACCGTAAAACTGCCGTAACTGCCACAACAAAACAGGAAGGAGGATTTGATTTGATTGGTGCTACTGGCGTCTGACACTCAAAAAGTTGAAAATATTTTAACTTTTCAGCGTCTACGCACATCTAAAAAGACACAGGAAAGACACCTGTCTAAAAAGATACTTGAACGCCGGTGGCGTCGCGCTTCTAGCGTTTCATCTCGGTATGATCTCCCCTTAAGTCCTTCATTTCCACAGTTTTGTGGACAGAGCACACGTTTGATAAAACAGAGATGAATCTCTCAGCATCCATTTTCAAGCTCTCTGTGTGTTTGTTTTCTTGCGGACAAGAAAAGGGGGAGCGCACATTCACGGGGGGATGTGTCCTTTTCAAAAATGAAAGAGGCGTTGCTGTTAAACACACTTTAGAAAGGAGTGTCCCCAGACTATCAGAATGCGGAGACCTCTGATTCTCTGGTGGCGAGACTAACGACTGCATAACTAGATCTAAAATCTGAGTACAATGTCTCCCAATATAACGAAGCAAACAAGATCCTCATAGTCAATCAGGAGAAAGATAAAAGAAACACTGCTCTCATTATCAGTTGCCAACCAAGACTGTAGATCACAGACAATGTATTAGTTGAGGAAATGACAGACCCATACAGTACCAGTCGGTCACATACTTGTGGTCAGTCCAGCATGGCTCCTTACACACCTTCCCAAAGGCAACATGGGTTATCTATTCTGTGTTTACATTTTCTCATGAGCAAAGTGTCTCAGAGCCCCTGAGGTATGACTATCAGTCAATGCTGGGGCAAACAATTTTAAGGAAAATATCTAGCTGTGATTTTTCTGACCAATTGCCAGAAACACTGCCTTTATAACCGACAATATTGACGGTCACAACTTCACTAAACATTTCTACAGCTTATCATCATTATTAAAATCAGGGCATTTGCAATTTGAAAATTGCACTCTTTCAAACTGTGATTTAAATATGAAATTGGATAATTGCTAATCCCTAGTCTCTGGCACAGGCTGACAACCTGCTCAGGGTGTTTACTGATGCAATCTAAGAGAGTCACTGAGAGCATTAAACCTCAATAGATGGATGAAGGAATGTAGAGGGACTGAAGAGGATGTCAGGGAGACATTGGTGAAGGTGCTCTGCAACAGTCGGTAGCTACCACTAACTCTACCACCTAACACTGCCAGTGTTTTTTAGTTTGACTGGCAGGCACATTAATATAGAATTCATGTGTATGTTTTTTTTTTGTTTGTTTTTTTTTTAAATCAAAAGATAACCATTTTTGATAAATTAATATTATATCAAAGCCATGACAGCTTGACAGGCTGACACCTGTACCAGTCCTACTGTGATATGTCAAAATGTCCTCAGTTAAAGAAAATGTATAAGCCCATGCCAGAAAACTTTTAAAGTAACACTGTTCGAACACAGAGATCTTTTACTGATGTTCTGGAGCTCTACTGGAGGAAAAAAAAGTGTCATATCATGCAGGGTGCTCCTATGCCAGCAGTAGGAGAAGTAGTAGTTTTCCCCAGTGTGGTTCCTGTGGTTGCTATGGCCACTAAGTGCCAAGTCAAAAAAAGTTAAATAGTCAACTTGCAGCAAACAGGAGCAGTAACAGTGACAGCACTCCTGCATCAGACACAGTGTCAGTGGCAGAACTGTGATTACACTAGAACAACAAATGTATTAGTGATAAGCACTTACTATTTAAAAGCACAGTACATTTCTTACAGACAGCCTATTCAGTGAGAGTAAAACCTACACTGTTGTAACGTGTTCATTTCTGACGATTTATTGCAGACAGAGAGACCCTTCTTTAACATGCTATCAGTTCCCATTGCAAAGTGCTGTTCTACTAATGCAAACAGTCACCTCTATGGGTAATGAGCCATTCTTGGACTATTGCATATGGAGATCTGCAAACTGTTGAGTGGATAGGAAGGTGAAAAGAGAGTAAAGAAAAAGCCTTATGGAGCATTTTAAGATTAGAACACAATAATATATATTATTAGGGCTGCCCCTGACTAAGAATTTTCCTAGTCGACTAATAGCCGTCAATTAGGGCCATTAGTCGACTAGTCGCCCACATGTTTACAATATTAATATAATCATTAAATCATATATTTTGGGCAGGGCAACACAATGATTTGAGTTTACACTCTGAGAAAGAATAGTATCAGTAACATTGTTAACACTGTGCTACATTACAGAGAAACACAAAACCGTACTAATGAACCTTCATTAATATAGGCCTATATTTTATCTACAAGTGCACGTCACACACTGAGTGAGCCGCCTGTTAATGACGCTATCGGCAAAGCCGTACTGATTGTGCAAGTGGCTAATGGGCATCTAGCTACTTCCATGTTTCAGATGATACGTCATGTTTGTAGTCGACCAATGAAGATGAGTTTACATATCACCTTGGGTTCATCCTTCACCTTCTCAAAATGATCCCACACTTTGGATTTCCTGCCTGACATGTTATTAACTAGCCTGTGGAATAACCGCAGGTACCAGCCATGGAAATTAACGTGACTCCTGTCTGACTGCTGAGCGTGGCCGCTTCCTGTGTCTGTCCTTTCAAATTCAATTCCCACATGGTCCAGTCATGGTCCAGTCAGTCATGCAGGTTTTGATTTATTTTGACAAGGCACTGCTCCTATTAGAGTTTCCTGTTTGTTTTTTGTTTATTTGTTTGTCTTCTGAGAGTAAGTGACCAATGAAATCTTGCCAACTAATGACCTTTCTGGTCGACCAATGTTTGGTCAAGTATTAGGGGGCAGCCCCTATATTGTACTATTGGATCATAATTATTGATGCATCTATTTGTTAATTGCCCTAATGTTGCAGCTGGTAAATGTGCAACTAATTTTTATTTATTTATTTCATATATAACTTTACACACTGCTGAGTAGTTTGTGAATTTCCCTTACCTATAAATCCTTATTGATATGATAATATCATAATTAATAATTTCCTGTTTATGTTTTGTACTGTTAATCTGAACTAAAGTAACTAAAGCTGTAGGACAAGTGGGATAAAAAGAACCATATTTGCTAGGGCTGTAGTCTCCTGGTTGACTAGTCGATTATTTTGCTCTCATCCGACCAAATTCTCATTAGTCGAATAATCGGCGTGTTACTTTCATAAGGAGAAAAGTGCTACATCAATAGCTTTCCAGGATGAATCCATTATTTCCTGCGGCGGGGGGACAGGCTAAGTTACCTGTGAACCTTGTTGACAGAAAGTTGGACTCGCCCGCCCTACGCTCAGCATGGCCGTGATGCAGACCTCATGTCTGTTTCTGTGTACCCAGTGCCATAGTGAAGTTAAGCTGTTAAGCTCATGGAAAGCTCAGATAGATACAATGGTTTATACCAAACTCCAAGATATGATTTGTGTTACCATACCAAAGGACTCAAAAACAACCAAACTCAAGACAGTGAAATATGTAGTTTTAAAGACAGACGAGACAGATAATCTATTAAAAAAAAGAAATAATGCTCTTTCTCCTCCTTGTATTATTTTTAATCATTTATTTATTTTTGAGTGGTATTACTTAATTAAAATGAAATTTATTTTGTTCAATTCACCTGATTTGCATGTGTCTGAAGTGCGGGAGGAAACCGGAGTACCCGGTGAAAACCCGCGCAGCCACGGGGAGAACATGCTCACCTCACAGACAGGAAGAGGGCCAGGAGCTCCTGCTGTGAGGCCACAGTGCTAACCACTGAGCCACCGTGCTGCCCTCAGAAGATCTGTGATAGTTTTTCTATAGCACAACGCTGGAGAATCATGCTAAAAAAAAATAAGGATGCATAATATCTGCACGTCATCGGTTAGTTATTAGCCATCGGTTATCCAAATGTGTTGTTATATATCAGCATATTGACCAAAAATCCAATATCGTGCATCCCTAAAAAAAAAAACTTTCACAGAACTTCACTCGTTATCTTCTATATCCTTTTGATGGTGATGGAGCAGCAGAATGTTTTCCTCATCCAAGAGAAGAAACGCCGCACACAGTTCTTCTTCTTCGGCTCAGCCTCCAAACTGATTGAACTGTCCTCATCTTCCGTCTGCAGCACATTTTTAGCTGCAGCAGGCCGCACCAGGATCACACCTGATGGATGGACTTGAGGAGATAATGCTGGATGGTGGCGGTCTGGATTGATGCTGGTGGTTCTATGTCTTGGTTTTTCTATGGGAGTCCTCGAATAGGAGCTGTGGTGGCCACTAGCAATGAATGGATGAGTGAGGACCTCAGTGGGAGAGATCCTCTCAGTCCCATCCAGTTTCAGCATGGCCTTCAGGAGATCAATATACTGCCCTCGCTTCACAGCCTCCGCTGAGTTGTTCGGATCCAGGTGCAGGTGTTTCAGATCATCCAGAGCGTTACATAATAAGCTTAAGGGACTCCTGGAATTATTCGGTTCATACTCCTCTTGTGTCTTGAGCCTCCAGCTGTTGGACTCAGTCCTGGTGAAATAACACTTTGTCTTATGTCCATTATTTAGAAGATAGTCTGCCGGCTGACCCAGGATTCTATTAATGTACTGCAGTAATTCATACTCCGTTCTTCCCAGGAATAGTAATTGACCATGGACAAAGCAAGCCATCATAATACCCAATGACCACATGTCAATGGCCTCAGAGAATGGAAGGCCCAAAATAATTTCTGGAGCTCTGAAGTAATGGTTTTGTAGCATCTTGCCCTGCTTGGCTTTGGAACATTTTATGGCTAAGCCAAAGTCTATGAGCTTGACTTGGAAGGGTCGTGTCCGGTGATCCACCAGCATGATGTTGTCGAATTTTAAATCCGTGTGGATCACTCCGATGCCTTTCAGCGCCTTGAGTGCTTTGGCCAGCTGCTGAATGATGGTGCTGACGTCACTCAAACGCATCGGGGCACAGTTGGTCTTCACCATGTAGTCGCGCATGCTCATGTCCAACATCTCAAAAACTAGAGCCCTTCCATGGCTCGTGTTGAAGCAGCACAAAAACTTGATTATATTGTGCTGCTCTAACTTGAGACGCTTGAACTTTTTCAACATGGCAATCTCACTGTTGAGACATTCTGATGATTTGGGGATCTTCACAGCCACAGTTTCTTTCGTGTCCTTCTTCCAACATTTCAACACCGTCCCGAAACTGCCCTCTCCCAGAACCTTGAGGAACGTGTATTTGCTAGGGAGATGGAACGCGTCATAGCTGGGGCATGGAGATGAGTTCAATTCGCTGTCTGTCATTTTGTTTTCTCACTAAGTTGAATCACAGGGGTTTGATTGAAGTCCACTGCGTATTGCTCGGTCGATATATTTCTTGAAGTCGAGGGTTGTTGGTTGTCCAACTGCTATCATCAGAATCATCAGGTCTACTTACTATGTGTCTCTCTGTTGTACTGTGATGTCACCAGTTTAAATGTGAACATTCCGAGATCCATTCTAGAATTGGAATGCACATGAGTTGGGCTTGATGGTCAATGCCAACAACATGTCGAGTTTTGTGTTTTATACAGTTTTGTGTGCTGATCAAGTGTTCCTAAGTATTCATCCCTTAAACTGTAGATGATGGTGTCTCAGAGGCTGATTCACCATCATCCTCTGAGACACTGAGACCTGCAGACAGTATAAAGTGAATGAGTATTATGGACATTAAAGCTACAGTTGGTAACTTTTATAAGGATGACTTTTTGTCATATTTTCTGAAACACTCATCACGTCCACACAGTAGTACACGAGACAGATAATCTGTAGAAAAGAAATCATGCTCCTTCTCCTCCTTGTAGTGCTTCTAATGATACTTACAAGAATCTACTACAGCTGGATTTAAACAACCAATCTGAGCTGAGGAGTCTAACACAGCTGTCTATCTCACCTCAGATGTTTTTTAGAAACATATTTTGGTGCACCGTTTAGCTGTAAAATGAGAGCGTTATGTTCGTACATAACTTTCTTTCATGATAGCATTGTGGTGACAATGTAATCACTGCCTGAATTATGTTCGGAGAGGTTTTTATGAGGCAAAGAAACACTGCACTTATGTACTGCACTAGGGGCAGCTGTGGCTCAGAGGTAGAGCGGGTTGTCCACCAAAGGGAAGATCGTCTTCTCCAGTCTGCATGTCGCCGTACCCTTGGGCAAGATACTGAACCCCAGTGTGTCTGGTGGCTGTCCCATTGGTATGTGAGTGCATGTGAATGATTACTAAGTAGCAGGTGGCACCATGTATGCTAGCCTTGGTTACCATTGTGTGACTGTGTGTGTGAATGGGTGAATATGACATGTAGGGCTCTAGTTTCCCGGCACAGCGCAGGTGGCGCAGGGTGGCGAACCCCGCGCAGAGCTAGTTTCGAGCAGTGCAACCCGAGGCGCGCTCAGTTTGGTAGTTTGGCAGACCGAGGTGCGCTGAGATGGGTGTGGTTGCGCAGCAGGGTGAGGTGTCGACAGATCTAGCTTGGCGCAGTGACAGTTTCGTGCCAAAAGGCTTTGCCGAAGGTGCGCTAAAAGCTCGCCATCTGAAACCAGGTCTACTGTCAGCGCAGGGGGAGCCCAGCCGGTGTAAGCCAAAGTTTGTCTCATAGGAAGGTTTCCAGAATATCAGGCACATTAATAAGGCAATAAATATCTAAAAAAACACTATTCAATGCAACTATCTGCAATCAGCACATAAATGTATCCCTATACCGACTGTCCCGTTACATCTGATGTCAGATCAAAGGGGATTGGCACCGTTTGGCACGTTTGGCACGCGTAATGGAAACCAAACCTAATTTGATTAACACAGCCTGCAAATTAATGAGTTCACATCCCTCTCAGCCAACCACAAACAGCCACAGCATCAGATAGTGAGTATATATTCAGCATCTGTCATCTTAGAAAAGTCAAAAGAAAAGAAACAGAGTGAGACTGCGAGAGAGAAAGAGAGAGCGCGCGCGCACGAGAGAAACGCAACATTGATTTACAATTGTGGTGACCTCCTCACAGGCTATACCTTTGCATCATCAGCCCGTGGAGGTCTGCTCGGAGTTCCATATATTCGGACACTGCGAGCTTGGACCTCCCGGACCAAAACATCAGTTTCCTCCTAAGAGAAGTTTGGCCGTCTGACGCTGCTGCTCTCTTCTGCCATGGCGAATTGAGTAAACTCTCATTACGCCTTTGCGCGGCGCATTTAAAGGCGAGGAGAGGGGCTCATTTGATTGGTGTGATGTGTGTAAAACCCACTCCACGCCTTCTCTCCTTCCTCTTTCCAACTTGCGCCGGTAGGAGGGACGGAGGTGGGATAGGGGAGCAGCTGCACCAGGGCGCACGGTGTGCCAAACTTACAAAATCCACTTAGCCACACCCAGTTGGCGGAGCGCAGGTGCGCAAAACTAGACCCCGTAATGTTGAAGCGTTCTGAGTGGTTAGAAGACTAGAAAGGTGCTATACAAGTGCAGTCCAGCGGACCTACAAAGTGCATTAATATAGCAGCATATCACTATTTGCTATGTACAGGTATAGTGGAGTGATGGTGTCCTGAGCAACGAAAGAAGTCATGCTACCTGTGTGTGTGTGTGTGTGTGTGTTGTAATCTGAGTTTTTCTGTGGTTTGTTGTGGTAGATAATCCAGCTCCATGTGCACATTAGAGAATGTTTGTATCCCACTGGGTAGCTCATTGCTGCCACTTTGCACTGCGCTTATACGACACTCACTTATATTAGGATGGCTTGCAGAAGCATACCACCAACATTCTGGTTTCCCCCTGGTTGATACTGTTTCGTCTGTCAGCACTGTTGCCGTTGTTAAGTGCTCTTTATGGAGTTAGCACTGTTAGCTGCCAGCTGCTGGCTCAGCAATCTCCATGTTGAGAACCGTGTCCAGACATTTCAAACACTCTACATTTCTCATAGAGCCTCTTTAAGGTTAGGAAAAGGTTGTGATGAAGGTTATGTGTTTTCAAAACACCCCCTTTGTTGACAGAAAGTTGGACTCGCCCACCCTCGCGCTCAGCGTCGTGGAGACACATACCTCCTGTCTTTTTCTGTGCACCAACACCAATGTAAAACCCCATAAACTTGTGCTAATAACGTTAGCATGTTGTATTGGTGGGGGAAATGTGTCCAGACAAAGACAAGTGTTTGTCTGTCAGTTCTGCGATTTACAGTGAAGCCAATTTGCGTACTTGTGTTTGAAATTGTCTCTATTAAGCCATATTTAATGTGTGTTTTGAAGCAACTATATAAATAAAGTTTGATTCGAACTAAACTTTACAGCACTTAACACAGTCCTCCACCACCAACTAGTGCTTTGGAGGTGTAACTGCAGAGTGACACAGACACACCACCGCACATTTGACTCATTTGCCAAGAAGTCATTATCTCCCCATTCACTAAGCACCCCCCACCCCACCCCAAAATTCCCAAGATCTACACGATTCATATGAATGACCTGGCTGACGCTAAAAACAGCTATCATCCTCAAAAGGCAACATGTTTGCAGGTTTGATTATGATGTCGCTGCATTAGCTTATAGTGTTAACATTGAGAGATTAGTGCACTGGTGGGATGCTAAAATGGATTTTTACCCTGTGATCACAAGCTAATGATGAAAAAACTTCAGGTCAACTCATACAAGTAGGTCTATATGGGTGTGTGTATTGTATTCAGCAGACTTAGTTGGGGGGCCGCACTGACCATGTTCCAACCTCAACATATCTGCCTTCTACTCATAAAAATATAAGTGATAGGCACTCAATTTCTGAAACCTCATCAGTACCTTTAAAACTGAAAAAAGTAGGGTCTACCTTGCACTATTATTTTTTTTATAGAGGCTTCATGTCATCTTTTGTAATGGTTAGCTTCACAGACTGTATATAAACCTGTTGATGACAGGCCTAGGTGACTTTAATTACCACCTTAAAGTTTAACTTCTGCCTACAATTTAATTTCCAGGTCCAAGTCTTTTGCCTTTGCAGTGGATGCTCAGGCCATAAAACGATGAATAAAGAAAGCATTTTAACAGAAACTGTGCTTAAGCTGGAATGGTCTATACAAGGAATGGTTGATCATAATACAGAGTTTTCAAGATAAAGTTTGTTTTACCACCTTTTGGCAACATCCTCCCAATATTCCTGTTTGTTTTATTATTTTATTGCTATAAAGCTCTGCACAAAGCCTAACTTCAAATAACCTTGAGCTTTTGCAACAGGGAATAAAGTAAACTGAGTAAAAAGGTGTGCTGCATACCCCACTGGTCACTGCTACAATGAAAATAATCATTAATTCAATGTCCAGAGCGCACAGTTTGAAATTCTCCAAAGACCTCCATAATGACCTTTTGCAGTTTCCTTCAAAGCATTATTAAACTATTTTTTTTTCTCCTTAAATTATTCACATACAGTTCAAGCAATTTATCCTGGTATGTTAACTCTGGAATTGTGAAAATACACTTTCTGCTGCACTCATTTCAGAGTTGTTAATTAAGTTAAGAAAATTCAGTCTCCCTCTAATTGTTCCTGATAAAGCCCCAGGCTATCTCTCCATGTCATCACAGATTAGGGATTTAACTCTCTTGTCTACAAACACCAACTGAACAGTCCACTTACATCTAGATGACATGTCAATTCTGCTTCAGGGATAGGCCCTATCTCTTAGACTAAACCAGTGTGTTTTAAAGTATGTTAAATAGTCTATGATAAATCATTTCACTTAAAACTTGAATTATTACCATTTCTTAATATTATTTGTCGCTTGACTGCTGCATCATTTCCATGCCATTACTGTTATCAGCTCATTCACCAACATGATTATCACTTTTTGGTTATCGTAGGCAAGTTAGTCACAAACATATCTGTGCATAGACAGGATGTGCAGCTTCATTTTTACATTGCATCGTGTAATTTATTCAATAATGTCAAGCCATCAGTGGTCACGAGCATACATTATAACACAGTGTGTTAGACAAGGCAGCAAAATAGAGAAAAATAATAATCTGTAATCTTCTTAGTGTCTGTTTATTACTGCTGCAATGTATAAATATTAAAATCACAGGATGACAATGGATGTTCATTAAACAGTGATAATGATTTTTTAATCTCACTCGATTTGAGTTTCTCCATAATGCTCCAAAATTGCCCTGAAGTAGCTGAGCAGAAGCAGCCATGGTTTTACCTCTTATCATCCCAAATAGAATGAAAAAACATGTTCTGTCTATATAATTAGTTTCACAAAATTATAACACCCAGCTAATTAATATTTTCATGTCT